TAAATAAAATCCATTTGCTTCTCTCTGAGCTACACACAAGACTTTGCCAAATGTCTTACATTCATGCTATATTATCCACTCTGGTATGAAATAGTTTCCTTTTGGCAAATGATTATTATTCAGCTTGATATACAAGGAAGTTGATAAACCCAAGGTGGGGACACAATCAGTTTTGCCAACAAAAGTCCTTCTGCTGCATTCCGAAAGGAAAAAAAAAGGAGGGAAAAGGAATACAGTTCCTTGTACATCTGTTTCATAAGTCTCTTTATCCATTACTTCCTCATTTTAAGACTCTGAATTCTCAGATTTATACTGCTTCTGGTGCTGCTGGGTTTGAACAGACTCAAGARATGAAAAATTTAATAGATGACCTAATTCATTGTTGTGCTCCACAGGCATTTCATTTAGTGCTTTCTCTTCCCTGCACTGGTAGTTTTAAACCCCTATGAAACACTTGATTACATAACTCAAAGCATGCTACGTGACAGGGCCACCACTTGAGCACTTTGTGTCTCTGAGCACGCTGTTCAAGGCACAGAGGATGCGCAGGAACCAAGGCTGCAAGCCCAGCCTGGAGAGCAGGGAAGGAGCAGGCTGCAGCTGCAATGAGAAGAGGCACAACATGAATCTGACATCCTTTCCCTTCAAGCAACTCTTCACACTCTTTGGCCAGTCCCACAAAGAATAAGCTTTATTTTGCACTTTCAGATATTTCTGTGTTTTTCTGTTTAGAAGGGAGCTAYTTAGGGTGCCTGGATGTTTCTGGTCATACCAGGATGCTCTGTGCTCACCGGCAATAAGATTTCATGAAAGTCACTCACCTTGGCATCAGCCTGTTTTTCCTAACTTGGGGGCAGGGATGAGTAATTTAMCTCTCCTAAGCTGCAGAGCAGAGGTTTCCCCCGTCACAGATGCTGGCTATGCAACCTGCTCTCAAGGGACTGCTCCACTGACTGTGAAAGCTGAAAAGCTTGTCCATCAATATCAATTTTTAATAATCCTTTGAAAAACTGGAAAATTGCAGAGGATTGGAAAAATGCCAGCTCCCCACCAATATTTTCCAAAGTACCACTAACCAAATAATAAGCCTGCTTTCTGTGCCATCAATCCTGGGGAAAACAATGGAATGATATTTTTATTTTATGTGATAATGTTGATGCAATTTACTAAAAGCTCTGTAATTCATTAGAGTTGGCTACTCCATGACATGTTGATTAGGGAACTAAACCAATTCTGAAACAACATGACATATTAGAGAGATTAAAGCTGGCTAACTAGTAGGTTCTGTGATATTACTGTAAATGAAAAATCACTAATGATGGTGTATATTTTATTCAGTCTGTGCAAGAATATAYTTCCAGGCCTGAATTATTTAATGTTATTAGAAGTCACAAAAAATCACCCCCAGCTTGTAAGAAAATCCCAGCTTATGTGAGTAAGCAAAAAATATAAAGAAACCTCCTTGAAAGCAGTCTATTTGGAAGCAGACAAAAAAACTGTCAAATCCAGCCATCATAAAAAAAAATATTTTTAAGAACGCAGCACTCTGTCCTGTGGCAAAATAGATGTTAAAAAACATGCAGTGGATGATAAGATGATGTGTAAGACAGTGTGATTGAAGGGCTTGGCTGAATAAAACATGGGAGGTGCAGCAACAGCAATGGGAATGTCATATCCAGTTCTGACAATCACTCTTCATAAAAAGGGGTGGAAGAGTGAAGGAAATTCAAACAGTGATTCCAGTAACTTGGGGATAGAAAATTAGAGCTTTTACAGGAATCCCTTCAGAAGGATTATCAGCTTTACTCACACAAACCAGAAGTTAAGAAATGGCAAGCACACGTGCCTACAGGTTAAAGAAAAACGGAAGGAACTCAAGTTCCTTCTGTCAGACACAGGTAGACATCAAAGCCTGATGGTTACAAATGTGATATGGAAGAAAGGGGCAGGTTGCAGTACACAGCTACTACTATTAGAATACTTCACCTACTGCTTCTAATGGATTTTGTCATCTTATTTTTCTTGGCAACACAAGACTGGAATTTATGACTGAAAAATAGAGATGAAGCTTGCATAATTAAAGTAGCATTCCATGCCTGTAAGCACTATGGCTCACCTTATGCTCTCAGATAATCACAATATTACCCTATAAATTTAAAAAATCTTTGTAAGCTCATAAACAAATGCTGCCAAAACCAATAACAAAACTGACATTAACTAGCTCACTACTCCTGTGTAGATCCAGGGTAACTGGATAGCTTTCAGTGTCTTCCAACTGGAACACAGAAGGAAAAGTAAAACATCCTACCATCGAGGGACCTTTAACCTTTGTCAGATTCACTGCCAGGCAATTAATTCCTTAGAAAGAGYCTGGTATTTCAGCTATCCCAGGCATGATCTTACAAATTGTGGTGGGTTGATCTCCATCAGGCAAAGCTATCCAGCAACAACTGGGAAGTCCAGGCTCCATTTCTCTTGTATGCCACTGTACAATAATGGACTTTTCAAAAATGAGTTAAAAAAATCCTCAAACCCAACCAAAACAAAAAGAGGGAGTTTTCCAAAACTTTAAGTTTACACTATCTCCCTTCACAATGAAGCATCTGAAGAGCTGCTCAAAGATCCTCCCTGCATGCAGGTCTTTGTATGATGTCAGGTTTTCTAGAGTTGCAGAGAGGATGCTCAGGTCCACTACAAGCTCAGTGTAAGCACAGGGCCTTTTTCAGGGAGCTGCAGGGCAGGAAAGTGCTCTGCAGACCCCTGGTTTTATGCATGGCTTCGTTGTAAGACACCTGGAGATGTTCTGCACAAGAGAACTGGTCAGACTAGGGGAAAAACATAGTATTGGAATAYTGACCTCTTTTTAACTGTGCAAAAACAGGTGGCAGAGTTATCAGAACTGGGGATAACATTATTTTAGAAATTCTAACTTCCCAGTTACTTTGAAATCTACAAGACAGAGATCCTTGGAGACAAAAAGAGCTAACTTAGGCAAGTATCTCCCTTCCACCTGCAAAAAGGTTTCTTTGCCAGCTGTGAAGATGGTACGCCCCAAGCAAGTGCATACTTTCAACACCCCAAATTTGGGATTAAAAGAAAAGTAGTTCAGGAAAGAAGGACATTCCTAATTTGGTGACAGAAGAGACTGCACCATTACTCCAACCTGCAGAACAAGGCAGCTCCTAAGGCTGCCATGAACAGGAATGTTTCTGGAACTTGCATATCACTGACCACCTTCCAGGCAGCTTGCACTGGAAACCAATTCTCAAAATGATCTTGGAGGTAAATTGTGCATTTGAATTCTCAGGACCTCTTAAGTTTTGTGCTGGATTGACAGATTCCTTTGAAAGAAACCCAAAATGTTTCATATCAGTTGCTTACCTGTGCCCAACTAAAACAGTAGCTCCCGAGAACAACGTTGGTTTGAAAATTATACACTGCAATACACATTTACCAGTAGAATAGAAAGGAAGTAAAATCTTTATTTCACTGAAACATAGGTCAAAACAGACGGCCAAATTGACAAACAAAAGCCCCCAAAAGAACAAATCCCCTAACTACATAAATGGTGCCTCTTATGGTTAGGGATTTAGCTTTGCTGTAAGCAACTTTTTCAAGAGCTACTGTYCTAAGGACTAGTACACTCTGGGGCACACTTTCTGCCAGCAAGCCAGAAGCAATTAAACCCCAAAACTGAGGATTCTTGTAAGGACAAGATCTGATCCTAGGCAGCCTTCAGGGACTACTTTTCCCAGGCTAAAGTCTGGGCAGGCCACTCGCTTCCCTCTACCCTCTAAGAGTGCTACTGTTCAGCAGACCTTTGCCACTGACACGAGCACCTGCTCCCACCCCAGAAAGCAGCAGTGACCTTCTCGTGTTGCCACGTGGGAGGTGAGTGGACAGCATGGAGCACATCAGAAGGCCCAAAAAGAACACAGCCTTTCACGTGCTAGCCTAGAAACATTTCAAATACGTATTTTAATTTCGGAACCAAATGACTGAAAGTTTTAGGAGCTGTCATTTGCTATTCCTTCCAAATATAAATGCAGAGCTGCCTGAAGCGCCTTCAGACACAAATCAAGATACTGTAGCAGGTTGGGAATGTGTCTATCCATCATCTTTGAGCTGCAATTACTRCATCATATGCAGGATGCCCTCTTCTCTTTAATGGAAAAGAAGCACTGGACCACATAACATACATATGCAGGACTTGAAAGAGAAATACAAGGTCAAGCCTACCACCAGACTGCAGTAAGTCCTGCAATTTATATTTATGCATTACATGATCAAGGCTGTAACATTTTTCTGTTCTAGGCATATAAATATATTGAAGAGAGATGAGGTGCTATAGTCACTAAGTAAATCTGAGCTATAAAAACTGACCAAGCAGTAAATCTGTGAGCAGTGCATTTGTGTCCTTTATCTCTGCCTCTCTTTACCAACAGTAATCTCTTCCTTTAGAAAACACCTGCCAGGAGGAAAGTGCCAGGGACAGTGGCATTAAAACCTCATGCACAGCGAGTTGGCTGCTATTTAACATAAAGGCCAAGCTCCCTCTGCCTTTCCTGTCCCTGCTGGGCTTGAGAACAAACTCAGAAGGGTGAAGTGCACATTGATGTTAGGTATTTCTGTCTGCATTCCTTACACAGCTGGTGAATTTTCACCAAGCCTTGGTGAAATTTTACATTCATACACATCTTAATGAATTTGGTCATCAGCACAAAGCAGAGATTGCTGATCTCAGAGGCAGGTCATACACAGAACCCTCTTCAATTTTGGGGAAGCCTTTAGCTTTAATGTAGCTTTTCAGCACTAAAAAACTGAAAAAATGTAAAAGGGTAAGGTGGGTCTCTTCGTAGCAGCACAACAGAGTAACTTAGAAAACAAGGAAGTTGAAATCTCATTRTTCCCCAGAACATGATTTTTCCTCCCACTTGCTTGGGTTTCTTTCCGCCACAGAGGAGACAAATGACAGAAATGACAAGTACAAACCTAATGCAGAAACTCTGACCACAGCACTGGCTCAGAAGATGTTGCAACTCTGTATTGCAGCATGACTGGAGCATTGAAAACAGTGGAGCAGCTGCAGACTAATCACTGGTTGAATGTTTCTCTCTAAGCATGTTTTAATTTGATACTAAAAGTATGGTACCATAAATCTTTTAGCCCCATTGAATAACAGCATGTCCAAGAAATTAACATAAAAATGAAACAGCAGGAGGTGGTTCTTCTAAGGCCTACCCAGCTAGGGTTTTTGTGAACACTGCTTTGTTTGAATCTAGCGTTGATGCAAGAGAAAAYAGCTTAGCTAAACTGAAACTACATGGAACACTTAACACCAATTAAGATAAAAACCCCCAAAACCCAAAAAACTCAAACCAGCTCGTGTGTAATACAAAGCCAAACAACAGGAGAGACAAAACAAGTAGAATACTTAACAAGATAAAAACCATGTTTCTAAAACTGAGCTGTAAGTACAGCTTAATATAAGCAGAATAAGAGCACTTGTTTATTAGGAAACAAGTTGAATATGCTTTAGAAACTATTTCATGTGAATCAAGCTTATTGTTGAGGAAATGTACATTATATAGCCACAAAATATACTTTGCATTTGTCAACAAATCAAAGTCTGTTGAAAAAAAAATCCCAAAACAGAAATAAGAATTCATCACAAAGTATTTTAAAAATCTGTGCCATGCAGAGCTTTCCAAGTGTGTAATACCCTATTTTAATCCAGTATCTCTACASAGGAGTGAAATACTAGTTTTTAAACATGACTAATACTGAAAATAATTACTATGTAGGCATCTACTGGCAAAGAAGAAAGCAATGCCCCAGGCATTAACTCAGGGTACAAAAAAGCTCCAATATGGAATGACACCATAATATGGGAATAACACATTATTCCAGACGACAAAACTTCCTGGTAGGTCAACAGTTACTCAGAGGTGGGATGCAAAGGTCTCTAGTTATCACTATCCCTTCTTGCAGGCATCTGAACACGCCAAGTTGTCAACAGCCAAAACTCTGGCAATTTCCACCATGAACGTGGGGAAAATGCTTATGCTTGCAAAGATAAATACCAATGGAACAACCATGGCAGAGAAAAAGATCTGTCTGCATAAAGCTACTTTAGAGCCTACTTTTTCTATTTAAGCAAACCAGATTTACAAAAATCAAAAGTGAGCACAGAGAGGATACTAGTACTCACTGAATTTCAAAACACTACCTGGAATACTGTCTCTATGAAGAAGGATCACCTCTGTCTTTGCATTTAGGCCATAGATAACAAACTTTGGGTGTACCTGGAATGTAAATGCTACCACTCATCTCCATTTAGGCAGCAGAGAAGGAAAACAGAACTACAAAGCAAGGTGCAGCAAAAACCCCTCCCMTGGGATTAAATTTTCAGTAATGCTGTGGTTTGAGCAACTGATCCTGCAGTTTTTATTCTCAACAACTGTGCCAACCCTGTTATACTGAATTCTCCCACCTCATGCTACTACTGCAGAAAAAGGGGGGGGGGGGGCAACAACACAAAACACCACCAGTAAACAAGAAAAAAACCCTCCTGAGAACTATTTACACAACTGCACCATTTCACATTTGCTTTAAACTATCTTACTCTAAGGCATTGCAACAGACACCTTACCAGTAAAATATCAATTATTTAATAATGACTAAGGTGAAGCACAAATGCAACAACACTTTCAAGAGAAATACATAGCTACAGTTTATGCAGGCACACAAAGCCTCTATCTGTGTGTTTACAGGTATAACTCCCCAACTAAAAAAGGCTCAAAACTTTCCATCACCGAAGTAACTTTAATATGTGTGTAGAAAAAGTACATCTACTACAACTTGTAACTCTGGGCATTAATTAATTACTTTGGAATTACTGCAGTTCACTTTTTAAATCTTTTTCTTCCACTACGAGCCAAACCAATCTAAGAGGTGACAAAACTGGGKATTTAAAAAACTCGATCATCTCTTAGGGCAGAAAGTTTTGAAATAATTTTGACTGCATCTTTAAAACTTGGAAAATCTATTTTTTAGGTCTTATCAGACACAAGTGATACAAACACATGAGATGACAACTGTTTAACAGTACATAAACATGAACACAGCTCCAACTCCAGGAATGCAATTTTCATTAACTTTCTCAAAAAATAAAAACACATTCCAGAGGTTTTAAAGCTTAAGTGAATTGCATAGTGATACAGACAGAAGAACAGTCCATGCSAGAAATACTTGGGAACAAGATTTCATGAAATGTTCTAATTCCTCAAGCAATTACCCCAATCTAGATTATCCTGAACTGGATAGAGACTATTTCTAAGATCATGTAGTGACAGAACAAGGGGGAGAATCTGTTCAAACTGAAGAGAATGTTTAGATTAGATAGAGAGGGAAAAATTCTTTACTGTGAGGCACTGGAACWGGTTGCCCAATAGAAGATTGGGCATTCCAGGGTRGATGCCCCATCCCTGGAAGTGTTGGATGGGGCTCTGAACAACCKGGTCTAGTGGCCCATGGTAGGCGGGTTGGAACTAGATGATCTCTAAYRTCTCTTCTAAAGCAAACCATTCTATGATTCTATGATTAACTGAGTTAGGGAACTGGTAYACTTGAATTGAAAAATTTGCATCTATACAAGAGTCAACTTTTTTAACTCTTATATCAAAATTGAAATTTTTTACATCACAGCTTCTCAGTTTTTGCAGTACTGAAGCCTAAATAAAACTGTACTTCACAGAACTCTACTGAAATTTAGGTTTTGTTGTTGCTGGTTTTTTTTTTTTTTAGTTCAATTGTTTGTACTTTTTTTTACATGAAACCCACTACTTCAACAAAACCCTATTCAGCACACTTCTACTGACAAAGCTAAAACTGAAAATGATGAACTCCCTAGAAATACCTTACCCACAGCAGCTTTAGTCTTTTAAGGTAACAATAGTGTTGCCATTTACTACTTAAAATAATAAAASCAGACACAACTATATGCTTTTCACTGATGTTACACAATAAGGCCAAAATAAACTARTTAAAGCCTCTCACCTAAGTTCCTCTCTCTCAGGTGGATGAATGGTACTGTATTTCTGTAGAAAAGCCAGGTTATAGTCATATTTGCAATTAAATCAATTTCTTATTAAATTATATGGCTTTACATTGTAAGAATTATCCAACTAACAAGTTCCACTTCTCATGGCTGCACACACGCARCTCAAGAACTGTACCCAGTAAACTAAAGCTCTCAAATTATGGCAGAGGCAGCAGTGCCCTATGGCACTGCACTGCCCACTCAGAAGAAGTTACTAAGAAAGTCACCTTACTAATCCACTTTCAATACACACCAATATATTGATCCCTTAACATTAGGCCCACAAATGAACAATGACAGRCAGCCTGGAGAAGATGACACACACYCTCCTGATAAGCACAGATAAAGAGTTCTTAACRCCTTGAGGCCCTGCATTCTTAGAAGTCAAATTCTTCCCTATGTAGTACCCCAAGCACACCATCAGGGTGTGCCTTCCACTTTTTAATTTTAACAGCACTTCAGAGCAAAATAACCATTTATCTGAAATGTGTTTATTGTGCTTCACGGTACTCACTATCTCTAATAATTAACTTCAGTAAACAGTCAAGTTGTATTTTGCCTTGCACAGGTGGTTTCAGACATAAGATACAATGATACAGCACAAGGACAATAATAGGTGTCAAAGATGTGAAAATAAAACTTTACTGTACAGGCCAATAGTAACAAAAATCAACATTTCAGTATAAAATTGTAGGCAATTTTTGAAAAAAATGGTGAAAGTGGTGAAGGAGAGGTTCTGAACACAATAGCAGCACTCCTTCACACTTTGGACTGTGTGCAAATGCAGCAATAATACAATACCTGTATTTATGAAACAGAGGTAAGGAAACAGCAGATAAAGCTCAGTTCCTACTGTGACAGTCACAGGCCTGCCACCATCTGGGTAAGAACAAGGCTTCTGTTACTCAAGGAAAAGAGTCAGGTGTAAAGTTCATGCACTAATGCTACTCTGCAGCTTATGCTACTGTTGACAGCTTGTCAATTAAATCATCAACAGTATTCACAAGGAGTTTTGTATCCTCCTTGTCACTCATGCGATGCTGGCCGATTTTGCGGAGGATAACATCCACRTCCTTGCTCAAAACACGATCAGCAACTTGCATAGAGATCTGCCAAGGGACATCACCATCCTTCATGCCATGGATAAGTCGCACRGGACACGTTACAGGAATAGGACTATTCAGCACACAATGATTTTCTGCTTCTCTGATAAAGTCGTATGTCAAGGAGTAAAATCCTTCCTCATTTTGCTTTGTYTGATACTTCCATTCACCCTTTTCTTCTATTTCTTTTTGTGCCTATAAAAAAAAAGAGTAAAAAATAGACAAAACAGATATTAGGAGTATGTAAGAGTGCCTCAACTTATTTCTGTTCTAAAGGCAGTAGAACTCCCCCATGTATAAAATTTTACCATCTTCATTTTTACTAGCAGAAGTGTATTCCTGTTCTCCTCACAGATCTGAGAAGAAAACCCCCTACTATGTCATAAAATCTGCTCTCCAAACCTCTCCTGAAAATTATTCTAGTTAAAATTCACCAATGAAATTAAGTTACTCAGCCAGAATCTATCAGAAAAAAAAAAAAGATGCATAGATGCCATGAACTGCAAGTCTCCTTGGCTTCAATCAGTTCAAGGAGAAATCCTGGGGGAAAGACATTTTCCAGTGATCAGTTTTTGCCACAATAGCTGTCTCTAAATGCTTTATTTCCAGATCCTTACCTTAGTCCTAAATAGTAATTCTGACACTAAAGTGTCTTAGAAAAAACCCAAACAAATCAAGAAAACACTTTTTATTCTAAAGCATACATTATTTATTGCAATGTAACACCTCATTTATTTTTCTGAAGACCAGACATTATGATCATCAAGGAATAACCTCAGAAGGGCAGTTCCCACTACCTAAACCTTATAATCTTTACAAACATATTTATTTGAATAATTTCCTTTCTATCTACACAACCTATGTCATATCATCCAGTGCCACCTCAACTACTTTAGCAGCTATTTCTCCATCCCTGAAAGCACAACCAATTCCAATGCAAATAGAAGATACTCAAAACTGAGATCTAATGGACTGCTAACAGCAGGGATCTGACTTCACATCCTCTGTACCACAGCAATATAAGCACACTCTGGCTAGTGYTCACACTAACCTCATACTGTAAGCTTACATTATTCAAACACAGAAAGCTTACCTGAAAATTTGCAAGGAAAGTACAGTTTAAATAACATAATTTCTCAAATTCTTTGTAAGATTCTTTTAGAGTGCCCAAAAGCCAACCACCAACATTTACCTCAATGGGTAGCCTCTTAAAAGCTGTTACAACATGATCTGCTGCTACAGCTACTCCAACCAGAGCAGCTACTTTATCTGGGCGTGCTATTGCAGCATGAAGCATTAGCCATCCACCCATACTGGAGCCCACCAGAATCTGGAAAAGAAAGTAAAAAAGAGAAAAAAAWATAGTGTTTTACAGAAAGTGGCTAATAGGTTTTTTTCTTCTTGCACAAAGTATCAATTTTCACTTGGTTTAACTATTTAAACCTTGGGCATAATCCTGCTGTCCTTACCCAGGCAGAACTGCTATYACTTCCAGTGGAAATTTTGCCTGAGTAAGCACCACAAGATCTGGTATTTATTATTCTGTTTGGCATGGCTGGTTATTGCTGTCTGAGACTGAAACACTGTAAACAAAATGAGAGTTGAAACAATTCAGTATCATATGCACACTTTTATGTTTCCTTCTTAAGGTAAATGCACAYAGTAAAGGCTCAGTGCAGCAAAAGAAGCAAACAAAAGCAATTCGTAATACAAAATTGTTTTGAACACAATACTAGGTATTTCTAGATTGTAAGAAATTCCAAGTTTCCCACAGTAATTTCTAAATTAACTGAAGAARACAAATCCTGTGTCTCCTGACTTTTTTTTAAAAAGCTATTTAACCACATGGAGTATCTTGTAATCTTCCTGCAAATCCTTCAATTAATTCCAGCATGGGATGATGACACACTTCTTCATTAAGAGGGCCACACTGCACTGGAACAATTCCCCGTCCTTTGTCAGGTGGCATCGCCATCATGAGGCTTTCTCAGTCTCTCTGGGACAACAGCCCTGCTCTGAGGCAGGAAATTCTAATAAACACTCCAGGAGCTCCTGCCAACTCATGTTTCCATGATTTTGTGACCYACCTGTTTGCAAAAGGGCTCCTATGAATATGACCTCTCAAAATGATTCATCTCGAGAGTGAGCAGGTGTCAACTATTCAGCAGAAACTATAGTTGACCAGAGCTATTATGGCATATTTTTGATCAATGTTCTACCCCGAGGGAACAATAGCATTCTGTATTTAAAAACAAAATATAACCTGTGGTCCTTCTGTAAGTTCATCCAGTATAGATAGAACATCTTTTCTCCACTTCCCAATTGTACACTCTTCAAATTTACCATCTGAACTTCCACATCCTGTATAATCAAATCTGAAAAAGTAACCATCAACATGAAAGTCGTGGTACTGTCTACAGCAACACAGACACAAACTAAATRCTACTGCAAAATCAGCAGGGGACAAGATACCACACTGAGAATTTTCTTACTTGGCCCTGTTTATCACTAAGACCACAAATCACATAAAAGGGGTTTAATTTTAAATACAACATACACAACTAAGTTACACCGTGTTCTCTTATCATTTGATATAACATCATAACTTACAACAACAGATAAAAAAATTTCCCTTGCAGACAAAAATACCCCTCAGAGACTTCAGTTTTAAAGATATTTTTAAAATGTACTCTTTGAAACACTGAACCCAAATAGGAAGGCTTATGACACTCCTCATTCAATCTAGTGTATCAAAGGACAGTATCACCAAGCAGAGGCATGCTCTTCTAAACCCACAGAAGACGTGGGGCAACTTAATCACACTTGGCAGGTAAGGACAGTGCTTATACTGGTAACTTAAAAAACAAGATTTCCAGGTCCTTCCTTCTTAATTTTTCTGCCTACAGCCTGACTGCAACATGTAGAACTGGCTAGCCTATAGAAAGTGAGAATTTTCTGAATTACACTTAGAATACTTTTTCCTGATTTACCTCAGTCTCTCTACTGRCAGAAATGCTACATTTGGAATGGAAGAAAGACTTCCCAGCTTGTACACAAGCTCCCTTAGCACAGGGAGCATCCCAATCCAAATGCCAAAGTGTACATGTTTGAGTTAAAACCCCTTCCCCCAACCCATGAGATCACTTTCACTTTCTCAAGAAAATGCAATGTACCTGATGTAGGCATGACCTAACGATTTGCAGAAATCTTCAAGGGCAGTTGCTTTTTGACCATTCATATTTGAGTTGAAGCCTGGAAGGAAAATAACCCCTGGATTCCTGCCTTTTAGTTTCTGATAAGCAATATTTGGTCGATCTGGTCGAGTAAGAAAGCTGACTGATGACTTCAGCCTGCAAACTAATGAAAGGACGTATTTAGTACAATCATCATGACAACCTTGGCAGAAGTATTTTATTCCTAATATTTGATAAACCCAAGGTTCAGCAAATATGGACATATTACGTGAAAATAAGGTATTTTGGCTCAAGAGCAGAAAAAAACATCTCCTATATTCTTTAAAGACTGACAAGTACTGATAAACCTGAAATTTTATTGTGATTCAGTCTCAAATCATTAAATGCCAACCAGATAGGGAGTTCACTCAGCAATCAGCAAAGTGGTTGACTGAAAATAAACACGAAGGACTGTCATCAGCCCTCCTGTTTTATACCATCTTGAATACATTTACTCATTTCACAAAAACATCTTCCCATTTAATATCTGTTTAGTTCAACTTTTTATTTTCAAAAAGCACAATTTTGAGACTAGAGTACTCTGTGCAATGGAAGTTTACAAGTACATGAAGTGACAAATTTTTCATTACAACTGAAGGATAAATGGCACCTTTATCAAAACCCTGGATCCACATAATATATGAAGATATAGGACGAAGCTCACAATCAAGAACTGGGAAGTAATCTTGTGACTTTTTCATCATGATGAGCATAAAACAACATGAGCAGTGTTTAAAACCAAATGACACAAGTAACATCAAAYGAGGAAATAAGATTAACAGAGAAAATGCTAACTAATTAATAGCTATGCTGAATCTCAACAGCTGCTACAGGATTTAATCTAACTTTAGCAGTCAGTTGTACCTCTACTACAGGTGAGGGCAAGTAATTCACAGAGAGCTGTTAAGGAGGCTTAATCCACCCTATAATCCAACCCAGCAAGGTGATATATTAAACTGRAAGCTTGGTCAAATCTTCTAAGACTTTGACACTCTCAATTTGTAGATTAGAAGATGACTGGTTCTTCAACAGTGTGGCAGGATGTAATCCCCCTCTCCCTTTCTCAAATCCGGCTGGCATATGCAAGAGATAACCCAGGCTGGACCAAAGGGCCCAGMAGGGAGTTATCTGTG